CTTACAGATCTCGTATTTCGGTCATTCTCGGACAAGTGTTCACTACCTAATTTTCGTGGCAATTTTGATTATTTTAAATATTCAAGTATAATTATCTTGTAATTATTAAATAATATTTCACGATACAGTACTCGAATATTAAATAATATTGCACGATAAAAAAATCGAGAACAAGTCGTGTGCCTGGTGGTAAGTGTCACGCCTGTTCCTAACAGTTGCAGTGTCACTCAGACCTTTGAATCACAAAGATCAGAGGCACTGCCATTGCGCCCGACATCCTGAGACATAAGTTGACAAATCCCATGTGCCTGTAATTTCACCAGCACCCTTACCCTTCGAAACCGAACGCAGCAATGGTCACATTACTGCTTGGCGGCAGAATTAGGTAAGGTGGCAGTATTTCCCTGGACGAACACTTTTACAAGAAGCTCTACTGCTACTAAAATTAGGTAATGAACACTATTCCGAGAATGACCGGATTGTGGCGGACAAAGAAACAAGTATACGCGATTTAGACCGGACAAAATAGTTTCATTTCCTATATTTATTTATTTTTTATTTAGTTGCATCACTGATAGCACAAAGATGTTATGTCTTGTACAAACATGGATGTATAATATATGCGATTTGTAAAATATTTTATCAATGTCCTATATACATATGTATATAAACTATTTACATCCATAAATAGTAGTTCCATTTTCAATGTGTAAGCATCACCAAAATCTAAGAACGTTACAGCTTCAAGGTTAATATAACAATTCGACAGACTATGTAGATGGTAATGTGAACAATTTGTGCCCCTGGTATATATAATAAAGCCACATGTGATCGTGATCATTACGTCGAAAGTGCTTTTATCATATAAATGTCAAAAAGAATAGGCGAAATACATGAAACAAATCATGTTAAATTTTAGAACTCTCCTATTTAATAGCTATTTAATAAATTTTGTAGTATCGGAGCTCCTTTTGAAAGAGTTCATTCAAGGTAGTCCTGCCTCCTTACCTATTTCTGCCGCCAAGCATATTTATAAGTATTACAGTGTTCCGGTTCTGAATGGTAAGGGTGCTGATGGAATTACAGGCACATGGGACTTGTCAACTTATATCTCAGGGTGACGGGCGCAGTGTGGCGCAGTGGTAATGCCCTTCAGATCTTTGCAATTTAAAGCTCTGAATGGCACTGTAACTGTTCTGATCAGGCGTGTAGCTTACCATCAGGCGCATGACTTGTTCGTCCCGTCACTTGATGTTATAAAAAAAATTAAGAATGACAACAATGACAACTTTCACCTGAAAAGTTGTCATTTTGGTAATGTGGCTTTGTTTTTACATCAAATGTGCGAATTTATATTATGAGAACCCCTCTGGAATCTCGAAAAATTCAATCAATGTTAAGCCTTCGAACGAAATGGTATGAAACAGGTGTTGTTTTGTTCACGCACAACTTTACCCATAAAACAATTTTCACTATGGGAGGTCCCCATAGTGAAAGTTGTTTGTTTCGTGTATTGCATATGTTTTTAAAAGAATATCGTTTAATAAATTCGATCCTTATGCTTAGGAGACAAGTTATTTTGATTACCATCTAATAAAAGTATAAAAATATGTACATATAAGAATTATTCCTAATGTTCAAACGCAAATAAACAAACAGTATGCGAATGGCTTTCTTTACAGCTCTTAACTCTAGTTAATAGAGTTTAATTGGCGGTAATTAAACAATGATTGTCTTTATGGGAAATATGCAAGATGCTTCATAAGTATATTTTATAAGGCACCATTGTATTATCATGTTTGTTAATTAATATTTTTTATTGCATACTTCATTTACAATATGGGTTATTTGCAAAATACAAAAACCTCGCAGGACTATATTACTATAATCTTAGACAACAGCTTTTGTTTACTTTTAACAAACTCATCAGATTTTACTTGCGTACAAAAATAGAAATATTTGAAGAAATGAACGGTGATAACTCAACTCAATGTAAAACGCAGGATGGGGGTGGGAGTTGTCGGAGAGGGAGGACGCTTGAACGTTTGAAGTTAGGTACTACCGTACTACTAAGTACAGATTTTAGATAGTAAATACAAAAAAACCTTGTTTATTTTTGGTAAATTTATTATGTTTTGTAAAAAGTCATGGAACAAACGTTGTTGTTTATGATGCTAGTAATCTGGTCCAGCAAGGTTGTTAGTATTTTAAAAATAACTCTGTAATAAAATAATAATTACTTATATTTATTTGCATAACAAATATTTTGATAGACTGTGAAACCACAGATTACCTTATGACAAGAGACCGAACGGCAGAGATACTGGCTTTATTTCATAATAACTTTTTTCCATCGAGTATATAACCAGAAATAGAGTCGAAGTAAGGGCCATATATTTCTGGTAACACATTAGCAATGCAGCTCTTATAAATATGAACTCTCGTTTGCACTGAAATCTAGACAGGCCAACTACTGACCTCTGTGTATGTCTCTGGATATTCCAAAAAATATTTTGTATTTATTGTAATAAACATAATATCTCTAACAATGCCGTGCTGTTCTATTCGGTCGTGTGGGAAAAACAGCAAAACATCTAATTACATAACAAACGGAATCACATTTCATCGGTAATTAAATATTAAATATGTAATTTTGCAATTTCCGTCCATTATAGCAAAGCTCAAGTTAACTGGTCGAAGTGAAACAGTTGACGACACTCGTCAATTGTTTCGAACTCGGGCTAGCCAATCGGAGCGCAGTTGTCACAGTAATGATATGGCAGAATAGTTTTCAAACAAATTAAATGACATTTCGTCTCTATTTCTGGTTATATACTCGATGTTTTTTTCACACGGAATTAAAGCCAATTGTAAAATATATATCGTATACTATACGTGTTCTATTTAGTTCACTTGATACATTGACTTACAAATAAATGGACGACGGGTCTAATACAAAAACCACGAAAAAAATGTCCCAAGCCAACCTATTTAAACGTAGTGATATGTAAAGGAATATGAAAAAGCTAAAACGTTGAATTTAAATTGTAATGTCATCGCAGTACTGTCTAATTTTGCTTGCTTCGCTGTCAGTCGAACAAACGAAGACTAAAGCGTGAATGACGCTCTGTATACGATTTTTACGCCCTATAAGTTCGGACACTTTTTAGCGCGGACCCGACGTCCATATAATTGTAAGTCAATGTCAACAATAATAAGAATAGAATATACCGACGGTTTATATTACATAAATGTAGGTAATGTACGACTAACCGCGTAGTTGAACGTGTCATTATCTTTTTTTTTTCAGCGAAAGAAGAAGTTAGGTACACCCATTGACTAACAAATAAATGGACGACGGGTCTAATACAAAAACCACGAAAAAATGTCCCAAGTCAACCTATTCGAAATTTAAATTGTAATGTCATCGTAGTATCGCGCTGTCAGTCGAACAAATGAAGACTAAAGCGGAGTTTGGCGCTCTGTATACGATTTTAGCGCCTTACAAGTGCGGACACTTTTTAGCGCGGACCCGACGTCCATATAATTGTAAGTCAATGAGTTGATATAAAAAAAACCTTGGTACTTACGTATAAACTACCTATTGAATACTGCGGTTTTCTTGTAAAATTTCGAGGTAAGTTTGTGTTTTATTCCTATCGTGACATTTTTTTGGAATCGTGGTTTCACGCCGTATACGAATCAGTATACGGTGTGAAAACACGTTTGTCAACTTTTTTACTATAATATTTCCAAATAGTTATATTTCCAGTATTTTTTCCAAAGTCTCAAACACTTTCACTGTTATGCGGAATCAATCAAACCCATTTGAGGTCAAATCGACAGCTTTGCATCGCACTGATTTGGCGTAGTCATATATTCGAAGGAATTTTTGTTTATGTTCGATCTTTGTATTTATAATGATAACAAACTAGTGGAGTAATTTCACAAACTAAAAATGAATTATCATGGCAGCAAAATACCATGGTTAAACAATAAAATCAGTAGATACTATCTCAGTCAGCCGTGACAATGGGATCTGTAAAGGGCTCCAACCGTTGGATTCGTTTCAAAAAACAAAATATTATAAGCCATTTTAGAATCGAAAAAACAGTTTAAGTTTCTGAAGGCATATTTCATTTTTTACAGCTCGTTGTGAAGGAGTCACTTTACCTGCTTCTGCCGCCAAGCAATATAAATGTTAAAGGATATGGGTATGGTAAATGCCTGTACATATATATTATGTACAAGCATATTATTATTATGTGAATAGGTAAACAGCCATAGGGTCGTATTCTAGAACTCTACTCAATGCTCAAGTCAGGACTTGAGCAGACTTGAGTATGATTTCAAGCACTGGAAACTGCGACACTACTGGCAAGGACTTGAGTATGATTTTCAGTGCACACTGCAATACTCAAGTCCTGACTTGAGTATTCAGTAGAGTTCTGGAATACGACCATAGTACCCTAAAGTTTTGTCTACCGTCTCTCAAGCAGAGGCCGTAGCTTCGAAACCGGCCCCGCACCTCTGAGGTTCAAGGAATTTAGGTGCGAAATTTAATTGAAATTTATCATAAGCTTTTCGATGAAGGAAAATATCGCGATAAAACCTGCACGTTGAAGAATTCATATCGTATCCAAGGTTCATAACCCTTAGAAAACGTATGAAGCCAAACCCGTACTGAGCCTGAACCCTCGCCTGAGAGGAGACCCGTGCCCAGCAGCGTGACCTATAAATGGGCTGATGATGGGAGAAGTTCGAAGTTTTGCAAATAAAGGTCAGTCTTGACTCGCGTAAGATTCACTTTCCCGTGCAACAATGTTTCGAGAAGGATTTATTCTGATTTATATAAGTAAGTTTGGATTAAGTTTCTCTTAAATCGATCAACAGTTTTAATTTAAACAAATCATGGCAATGAAATATTCTTAAACGCAATTATAAATATCGATCAAGTCAACGAAATTGATAAACATTAAATAAAAATAAACACAACATACCATAAACAGCTAGTAAAAACCACACCAGAACAATTTTGCAACCCATTTCGGGGGCCAATTGCTCAACTATAACAAAAACTTATATAAAAGCAAGTCACACTTTATTGTTAAACTGAATGGACACTCAGATAGACACACAGACAGGTCTAAACACAACGGTGAATTAAAGAGCACTGGGCGTTGAAAATCCAGCGCACGCGCCGCTAGGAATACGCGTTCCACCAATTGATGCGAGACATTTTTTATTCTTTACAAAAGATAAATTATATAAAATAAAATAAATGTAGTGTAGGTTGAAATCAGAAACTTTGAATTTGTTTGAATGTATGTCTCATAATGATTAGTGTTCACTACCTAATTTTCGTGGCAATTTTTATTATTTAAGTATTCGATTGTTTTATCGTGCAATATTATTTAATATTCGAGTACTGTATCGTGAAATATTATTTAATAATTTCACGATAATATAACTAAACATTTAAATAATAAAAATTGCCACTGAAATTAGGTAGTTAACACTAGTCCGTGTATGACCGCATTAAGTCGTGTAGAACATTTATTTATCATAGATGGATGTTAGGAGCAATGGCAGCACTCAAACAAAAATGCTTTTGTGAGTGCCAAATTAATAAAACAAATATAACTCTGCTTCGGCGCCTTGACGTCGAGTTGCGGACACCAGCCCGTTACACCAAGTACCAAGTAACTCTGCTTATTTTAAATACATAATGTATGTATTTTCATGTACGTATTTTCGAGTTTTATATACAATTATAAATAAAAACACTTCGATTTTTGAAAATTAAAAAAACTTGTTAACGACAATTTCATTGAGCAAATAAAAATTTATTGCATTTATTTTTTTTTTTCGTGTGAATTTGATAAAGAAAAGATTATCCGGAAAGAAGCCTACTTATGAATTGTTTACTTTTACTTGTGACAAACAGTGGTACTCCTTCCAAAAAATCTTGTAAATCCTGTAAATGTATCTATTGTATGCAGTTATAAGAAATCCTAACACAAAATACAAAATACTACTTATATCACCTATTTATCATTATTTTTATTTCAATTTTTAAACAATCTGGTAATTCCAGTTTCTTAATAAAGCGATAGATTATTACATGGATTTCCCTAATTCACAAAGACTGCACTACAATTTAATGAATGCACATTAATCTGTTTGAACTTGCTTTACCATTTACCAGTAATGGAAGTAATGCACAGACATGACATAGCGTTTTGGAAACATCAATTGGTCGAATGCTTTTTAATTGTTCGTAATATGTACCGAGTTTCTGATTTTCAGATTAAACTAGATTGCTAACAATTCGTCCTGTTGAATACAATTGGCCGTAACTTTCAATTTCAACATATTATTGTCCCGCGTACATAACAATGTAAATAATAATATGTGAACTGATTCAGACCCAGACAATATTATTTCTATGATGACGTAAATGCCCAGTGGATGTCATAAATAAATAAATAAAGGGTTTTTCAACAAGAACTTTGTTTTGTAAATCAAAATAAAACAATATGTTTAGATGACAATGATTCAAATTTTTATTGTATTAAAAAAAATAAGGTTTGGCAATTATGAATGAAAAAGGATATCTGATAAATGTCCACCACGACCACAGTTACAGATGTCGATTCTTTCATCAAAGTTTTTATTACAACGTTTTGTAAAAAAAACTTGATTAACGAAATTTTTTTTTTTTTTATTTTTTTTTATTGTGACTCGGCAAAATGACTGCACCGCGCCTGATGGAAAGTGCGAATACAGTCCAGAGATGAGAGTAACGGATGGAAAACACAAATATCTTCACTCCGTCACTATCATTTTGCCGGTCTGGCCAAATGCTTCTTCACACTACGTTTGAAGGACCTGATGTTATAGAGGGGAGGGAATACATGCGCCGGGAGTTGGTTCCACAATTTGATGGTTCGGCATAAGAACGAATTGCCAAACTTTTTAGTGCGGGACGGTATTGAACTGACCGTCCAACTGTGGCAACGCAGTCCGGCACGGGTGGTCCGCTGATGGAAAGGAGAGGAAGGGATAAGGTTGAATAACTCTTCAGAGCACTCACCGTGGTACAGGCGATAGAATACGCTAAGAGACGCTATATCTCTGCGAAGCTGTAACGACTCCGCATGCTCAGTTACATGAGGATTGTTGACAACACGGAAGGCGTAGCGCTGCAGTCCA